CATGCTGCTTTTCACGGTGGCTGCACTGTTGTGTATTTCCAAGGGGAGTGCACAAGGCTTCACTTTCTCTATATCCTCATAAACATTTTTTTTTTACAGTGATGCTTCTGATGGGTGTGGGGTGATACCTAGCTTTAATTTTGATTTGCATTTCTCATATGTTTGCATCTGTTTGTTGACCATTTGTACATCTTCTTGGTGAAAGGTATAAATATTTTTCATATTCTTTAATTGGACTGTTTGTGAGGATTTTTTTTGTCATTGAGATGTAGGAATTCTTTATGTATTTTTTTATACTAGATCCTTATCAAATATATAATTTGAAAACATTTTCTCACATTTCATTCTGTTGATTGTTTTCTTTGATGTGAAGAAATTTTTAAGTTTGATAAAGTGCCATTTTCTGTTTTTGGTTTTGTTGATTATAATTTTGGTGTCGTATCCAAAGAATTATTCCAAAATCAGATATCACGAAATTTTTCTATATTTTAGAAGTTTTGTGGTTTCAGGTCTTATGTTTAGGTCTTAATCATTTTAAATTAGGTTTTTTGATATGATATTAGGCAAAGGTTCAACTCCTTTCTTTTACATGTAGAGAACTGCAGAGCTGGCCACAGTTTTCCTGGCATCAGTTGTTCCAAGATGTGCCTGTCACCATCACGTGGTCTTGGTGCCCCTGTAAAAGCTCACACTGCGTGTCAGCATTTATTTTGGGCTCCCATTCTACTCCACTGGAGTGTGCGTCTGTCTTTATGCGAGTATCATGCTCTTTTGATTATCAAAGCCTTGTAATATGTTTGGAAATAAAGAAGTACGTTAACTCCAACTTCATTCTTAGTTTTCAAAATTATTTTGGCTCTTTGGAGTAATTGAGATGCCATATAATTTTGAGGGGATTAAAAAAAATACCTGCCTAAAATGCTGTTGAAATTTTGATTGGGATTGCATTGAATCCTTAGACAACTTTAGATATTCTAGACATTTGAATATATTAAGCCAATCTACTATTTTGATGAACACTGGATGTCATTTCATTTATTTTATTTTCTTTCATTTCTTTCAGCAATGTTTTATAGTTTTTAGTGTGTAATTCTTTCACCCTCATCATTAGTTTTATTCCTAATTATTTTTTTCTTTTCAATATTATTGTATATGAGATTGTTTTAAAGTTTGTCTTTCAGATTGTTCATTGCTAATGTACAAAAACAACCAATATTTACTTATTCTTTAAATATTTAATAGAGTTCTCCAGTGAGGCCATAAAATTCTAGGTTGTTGTCAGGAGGTTTTTGATTACTGATTTAATTTCCTTACTTGTTACAGATCTCTTCTAGGTTTAAAAACATTTCTTCATAATTCAGTCTGGGAATGTTGTATGTTCCTGGGAATCTGCTCATTTTACTCTGAATTCTTGATTGCCATGTTTACCTTTCTAGATCTAGCCTACTTGCAGGAACCTAGATTGGATTATAGGTTTTCAACAGCTTTCCTTAGAAAAGTTTTGCTGAAGACTTGAGAAGGTTCATCAGAAAGGCACACAGTGTTATAAGCAGCTTCCTGGCTCTCAGAGGTACTATACTCTTAATATAGAAGAGCTCGATGTTTATCTAGGTTACTCATGGAACCTACCCTCACAGAGAAAGGAGTCTGCCTTTTCCATCTCCACCTTCTTTGACTTTGCTGAAAATATAGTAGCAAGGTTCATACTTCAGTATCTAAAGTAAAATGCTTACATGAATGTTAGAATAAAATTATAAGAGATTTTCTCCTGTATTGAGGGTCTATGTGTATATTCTGCATTTCTAAAGAGAAAAATGAAGAAAAGTAGCTCTTCAGGCCCCAAAGTGAAATATTAGTTAACTATTCACCACACTTGTAGGAACTTTAAAAAACTAGGTGGACTGTACTAATTTCCTAATCTTGAAAATGTATAATTGTGGTTGGGAGGTAACAGAGATCATGTAGCTGGGGAGCGGTGGTGCAAAAACTATGGCAACTTGGGTACAAATTTACAATTCTTAATAGAAAAATAAGCCAATAGCATTTTATATTCTAGGACAAACATAATCATATTAGGTTTCATGTAGACCTTATCTCCTTGGAGTTGGCATTTGCACAGTAGGATGAAACCCTTCTATTGATTTTAACTGAATGAAAGCTTTTTCTTTTCTTTGAGATTGAGATAATTTAAGAAAAGAGCAAAAATCTTGAGGTAACTAATAATAAACGTTTGTGTATTTTCTGTAATAAAATTAAGAATCATTTCCTTTTACAAGCAAAGGACTTTTTTTTGGTACCAGGGACTTTTATTTGACAATATTTATATAATCAACCAGAATTTTTAACCTCCAGTTTTATGTAAGCTCTAGAGTTAGCTTAATAGCAGAGAGATACTTTTATTTTCAGCTTTGCCCTAAGCATTTAAAATTCTCCACTGAGTCACTGTTGCAGTGTTGAGTCATATCATCAGAAAATTAGTGCTATTTTAATGAATAACATTAACCTTCAAATTCCAGTGAGGCAAAATATTTAAAGTACTCTCATGTAGCCTTGGTTTCTAAGACTCAGTTTACTTGGATAAATCCTTGTTGGGTGAATGTTTAATAAATTTAATGCAACATATTTCATCTGTTATGTTCACAGTGTCAGGAGGTGGTCAGCAAAGCAATGCTACCCCACTCATTTGCTCTTCTTTGTTGTCTTTCATTTTTCCCCTTCATCTAACATTTCAGCTCCCGATTGCCCCGAGTTTCTCAGATTGCACCCATTTCCTTGAGAGCACGTGTGGAGGTTCTAGCAGCAGCCCCGGATCATCCTTCTCTATCAGGGAAGGTCATCCTGTTTGCCCTAGCAAGGTTCAGGGAAGGAGGGACCCTTGAGGAGTGATGCAAGCCAGAGGGACACTGCTGGGTCAGCCCTGTGGTCACTGGGTGATGGGTTTGCGTCCCAATTTTCCTTGTGTCGTCAGTCTTCCTTCCTTCAGTCCCTGTAGGTATCCCTTTGTGATTCAGTCTTGTCTGATCTCAGCTCTATCAGTCATCTTCACGTAGTTGATTTTAAAATTATATAGCTTAGATAGCTCTCCTGAACGATACACTAGTTCGTGCAGCTTCCTACTTGATACCTAGAATTAAATTTTAAAAGATACTTCCATGGTTAGCATTTGCAAAGCTAAACTTCCTGCATTTCCCCTCAAGCCGCTCTACCTGTCTTTCCCATGCCAACCCATGGCGGCTGTAGTACGTTCCTAGGGTTTGAGAGGTCAAAACCGTGAACTCATCCTTGGCTTTGCTCTCCATCTTATACCCTGTATTTAACCCATTAGGACATCTTGGGGGTTCTGCCTTCTTCAGACAGGATCTGAGTCTCACTGGATGGGCATTCTTATAAATCAAGAAGAGGAGGGGAATTTAGAGGGATTAAGCGAGTAAGCCCAAATATACATGGTTAGGAAGTGCTACAATAATATACAGTATTCTTCTTGTAACCCTAGTACTATTTCAAAGTAAATGTTGTAATTGCTCTTTTATTTATATGGTTCAGAAGTATAGTTTGACCTATCATATCTAATATGTGTTATTTCAGTAAGATCCTGCAGGAAATCTCGAGGCGCATGGCAGTTAATTGTAAATACTTGCTAACTCTGTCAAATTGAATAGTACTTGTTTGCCATTTTCATTTTGCTTCAGCTTAAGAACCAGGTTTTTATTTGCAAGGTGAAATTGTCTATAAGTTGTGTTTAGTGAAAAAAGGGAATATTCATGAAATAAACAACTAAAGAAGGTCATTTAGGATTCTCTTTTTCCAAGATTTTTTTTGTTATACGTCTAACTTTAGAACGCATATTATCTCACATTACCTTACATATTTTTTTCTTTTTGTTGGATTTTCATTATTGATCTTGATGCTTGTCATTTATGTTTAGATTGTAAAATTATTGTTCAAGTTATTTAAGGTTTTTTCTCTCTTGAGTTTCAGAGGACCATCTTAAACTCAAATCTACTAAATTTTAAGTTCCTACAATAGACTGTAATGGCAAAAATACAGAAGGTTGGATCTTGTTAGACAGATATCAGAAAAGAAATTTCAGAGCTTATTAGATTCCAAAAATACTCATTTTATTGATGTAGTGCTCATATTTTAATAAAAGTTATTCCTTACTTCTATAACTGAATGTAACAAAAAAAAAGTCTACTAAGCTCAGTTTTATTTCGGTTAAGTGATATACTCGAAAAAAGAGAAGATTATATTTTTGGGGAGAGGTTTATTGTTTATTGGAATGATAAATTTAGAAAGCTGATCATTGTTTTTCTTCTCTTTATGTATGTTAGAACATTTATCTTTGAAACAAATTTTTAAATACAAAGCTCTTGAGATCATTAATTCATCTGTGTTTTTCTTCTATATTTGCATTTTAAATCTACTGTTTTGTTCCAATAATTTGTGTTATTTAGATTCAAGGATGAAATCTGATGAATTTTTAATTTCCATATCCCAACTTCTGTGTGTCTACCCACCTACCTTTGCTTTGACAGAAGTATTTAGTATGGAATGACTTTTAAGGTATTCTTGGGCCGGGGATTTAGCTCAGTGGTTCCGGCACCTGCCTCGCAAGCGCAAGGTCCCAAGTTTGATCCCGGTACCAAAAAAAAAAAGATATTCTTATGAGTTTTGAAAATATTTCTTAAAGAAACAAAATGATATACATGACATTAAAAACAAAAAGCTATCTCCAGTAATTATTCTCTCTGGCATCTGAATGAGTTAAAGATGTATGGCAACTGCAGCTGTAATCTCATACATTTAGAAAGAAAACTCAGTTTGCTACTTCTAAAAAAAATGCTGTTGGCAAACAAACCTAAAATAAAAGTTCAAAAAAGAGAGATTTTATTTCTGGAAAATGTGTTAGTCCTGTTAGCATTTGCAGTGATGGGTATCTGTGTCTTTGAACTGACAAGTAAACGATGATCAACCGGAGCGCTGTCTTTTCTTTTTTATAGTGCATACCAATGAAAGGCCTGGGATTTGTCCTTGGAGCCTATGAGTGTATCTGCAAGGCAGGATTCTACCACCCTCGAGTCTTAGTGGACAACTTCCACAGTAAGTGGTCTTTTCTGTTTCTGTGCATGCATACGCGTAACACACACCATGGTTAATCGTCTCTTGATTTTCTTTTCTTTTTTTTTAAATTTATCTTTTTTCTTTTTATTTTATGAAAAAATAAAACAAATTTTCATTACCAAATAATAAGAGAATAATAATTATTACATTGTGTATCATTATCTTCAAAGTAGTTATTGAGAAAAGACATAGACCAAAAGGATTCTTATAAAAAAGAACTAAACAAATAATAATACAAACTTTCTTTTCAGTGAAGTAAGATAAACTATTAGAATAAATCAAGCAAATTAGCATACATATTGAAATATTTTTAAAACAGTGGAATGTGTAATTGGGAGAACTATTTGAACTTCTCTCCACTTTCTATCTCTCTTTTATTTTATTCTCTCTCTTTCTCATATATATAGTTTCTCATACAAGAGAAACTATGTAATATTTTAGCTTGCATGTCTGACTTATTTCATTTAACATCATTTTCTCAAGTTGCATCCATTTACATATGAATGCTTCAAGTTTATTTTTCTTTATGGAAGCATTGTATATAAATACCACATTTTCTTTATCTATGTGTCTGTTTATGGACATATACACTGTTTCCAAGATCTAGCTATTATAAATTGTGCTGCTATAAACATGGCTATGATGATTTTTTTTTTGTATTAAATTCTTTTATTGATTTTCTTTTAACTTTGTTAGTGTTCCATGGTTAAATCTCCACTGGTTTGAGGTTCTTTCACCAGTCAAGGAGTTTTAGTTTTGGTTTGTCATTTACAGTGCTCTGGAGTACCACAAAAAATATTTGCTTGTTTTTGGGTGTATTTTAGTTTTCTAAACATTATGAAGTCTGATATAGTTCCCACTAGATAAGACAAATTGGGATTTAGCTATTGAGAGATACTAGTGCAGAAAGTTCCTAAAACAAATTTTATCAGTTTATCAAATTGTTCAAATGTTACTTTTCTATGTGTCGAGCACCTTACAGCAGTGTAAGGGACATGAACAGGTCAGGCGACGCACACTGTGTTTTGAATGTACGGTTCTTCACACAGCAAATCCTTCTTCTAGAAGGCGTACACATGTAGGTAGGAGGCCTCAATCTGAGTCACTCATATGACTATGAGTCCACGTAGAGTCCAAGTCACTTGCTGAGCAGGAGTTCAGGTCCTGTTTAAGGCTGGCTGGGAGACCACACCATTCCAGCTGAGGTCCTGCAGAACCCTTATCCCTTGTTGGAGACAGTGTGTCTGGTTTGCAGTTCTGTGGTGCTTTTTTATATGTGGCTTTTGTGGGCTGTCCACCATCTTATCTTTTGCTCCAGGTGTGGCATTCAGGCATAACTGATCAGCTTCTTTGAGCTGTCTTAGAGTTCTTGGTATCCCTTGCCTGGCCTGCCATGTGCTAAGATGTCGTTGGGTAGTTGACGTGACCCATGCTGTGTTCCTCCTCACACTATACCTTATGCAAAGTTGCCATAGTGAGACACTTAAAGTAACATAAATCCATTGTCAGACAGTTTCCATTGTTCAGGTTTCTGGTCATGCACTAGCTGATTCCTCTGCCTGGGGTCTCAGCAGGCTAAAACCAGGTGCACCTAGGATGTGATATTTTCTTACACCCAAATTACTCTTCAAGTGTCTTTCAAATCCTTGGAAGCATTCATCTCCTTGCAACCGTAGATCTTAAATCTCCATTCTCTGGTGAGACATCTGCCTGGGGTCACTCAGTTCCTAAAAGTCCCAACAAGGCCCCGCCAGAGGGCCTTCTCACAACAAAGCCGCCTTCTTCCTCCAAGCCACCAGCTTGATCTCCCTGGACTCTACTGCAGTCTGATGGCTGTCCTCTGCTGTATAATGTCCCCTAAGCAAAGGACAGAATGTCCTGCCGGGTCTGTCCACAGTTCTTACCCCAGAATCTAAACTCGGTCATCTGATTATTTTATTCCTAGTACAGAAAACATACTGTATTTTACTCTCTTTATAAGGAATGCGATGTTCCTGTTTTGGCGTAGTCACCTACTAGATACATTGAGTGACAGGAAGGAGTATAGTGGCTTAAACGGGAGTAGTTTCATGGGAAACTAGGTTTTGGAGTTTCTAAAACTGGGGTATATGTTTCTTTATATAGTTATACAATAATGTTTTCCATCCTTATTATTGGTGTATTAGGAATTTGCATCTCTACTTGGCATAAGTAGAAAGATACATTGATAGACACCTGCAGGCCCTCCTCTCGAAATGCTGGGTTGACATGTATAGGTTTATTAATAGACTTTCCCCTCCCTCTCCCAAAAAACACTGCTCTGAGTGTTGAGACTATTTACACTTAATTTCTAGGTTCTGAAAATGAGGAACATTTTTCTCTCTCCTCAGTCGTACATTTCAGAGTTCAGCTTTTGTTCCGAATAATAGCTGCAAGCAGAATTTTCAGACGCCCTCCGAGATTCTCCTGCCACACCCATTGCATAGTCCCCTCTTCTTCACTGTGAGTGGGACCTGAGAGTGCACTGGGACAGTCACTCCCTTGCCCAGGGCAATGTTAAAGTGATGGTGCAGTCCTGTATAAGACTCTTCTGTAGCTGACTGGAGGGAGAGAGAGGAAGAGGGAGGAGCAGAGGGAAAGGAAAAGTTGATTGAAGATTCATATGCTGGCTAGGAGCTTCAGCATGGCAGTGTCACTGAAGTGGCAAGAAAACAGGACCCTCAGTTCCACAGCTGCAAGGAGCTAAGTTCTTTAAGCAGCTTGGACACACTGGAAGGGGTCTCTGAGTTCTCCATGGGTGAGAACCAAGTATTGATTCCGACTTGGTGAGACCTGCACCAGAGAATCCAGCTACACTATGTCTCAAAACCACGGAATAGCAAATGGGTGCACTAAGCTCCTAAATTTCTGGTAGTTTATTTTGTAACCATAGGAAACATCACTACCAATGATGATAATACGCTCTCAGGATGGTTCTGCTTCTCTCTCTCTCTCTTTCTCCCCCATACCATGGCAATACTGGAACTACTTTGGCATTCTTCATGTTCATGGTCCAGACATACCATATGATTCAACACTGAAAGATTAAGGGACTAGGGTTTAGCTTATGTTCTGTGAAGGTATTTTGTATCTGGTTTACCCACATTTGTTCTCAGCTCCCACTATGTGACTGAAATAAAACATCTAAATATTGTAGAATCAGAGAATGACTGTGCCATTTGCTTATAACACCACCAGGCAAAACTGGTTAACCTTTAACAACTTATCTTTATTTAATTTGCACAACTCCTACTTTCTTCCTTATTTTAAAAGCTAGTGGTTTTTTACTGGACCTACTCACTCAGAAAGGGCTGCTTTTCTGCATTAGTCTGACTTCCATTTCATACACGCAGCAGCAATGGAAAGAGGCCATGGCTGTCAGAAAGATAATCTATAGGTGAGTGTGACTCTTGTGATTAGAAGCCAGTAGCATGTTAAATATATATTTCCTGATACCCTCATCAGGTAGCACAAAAATCCAACATTAATCACTCCTCCTCTAAGAAAAAGTACAATTTAACCAGGAAATGCAAGCTATAACTCACCACAAGGATCATCAGCCAAAAACTATAAAAAATGTTTCTATTTTCTGGTTTATTATTAGAATATATTTCATATCTTTGTGTTTTAATATATTAAGTCTTAGTATCCTGGCAGATTATATGGGTAGTTTTTTGATACTTTCTTGAGATGTGTCCAAGAGGGAAGGAATGACTACATGTAGCTCGGGGACCAAAAGTGAAGAAGGCATTGGAGACCCAGACTAGGAGGGAACTTATATACAACTGCTACCATAGTCCATGGTATATATTCGGTATTCAATAGATGTAGTTAAACAAATGGATATATGTATAAATATTATATATATAAACTATATACAATTGGTATATAATTTTGATATATAATTGATATATTTATTCAATATAATATATAATTATCAATTATATATAATGGTCATACATATATTAATGATATATATAAAGAAAGAATCTTTATGTCTCATTGGTCATAAGTGCCATATTTAAATATTTTATTCCATTAGGGTAATCGCTGACTTAAGCTTGAACTTTTGGAGAATGAATTCTCCATGTATCAGAAGGAAGATGGGACAGAAAACATCTGCAGCAGCCAGAGCTGCTTTGAGAAGGGCATCAGGGAGAAATAACACATAGGAGCTATGAGGTAACAGGAAGAAATTGGTTAGTTGCCTAATAGGGAAAATGAGACAGAAAATAGAACTGCACTGCAAACATAATATTTCATTTAATTTATAGTTATAAATATAAAAAAGCCCTGATTTCCACCATTTCTTGAAGAGTTGTATCCTCTTTGGAGAGTGGAGCTAAAATGTGACGCTGATCTCTTAGAGGAAATATAAATATGGCTGGTAAAGATCTTGTTAAAAATGTGAAATGATTTTTAAAATCTTTATTTAGACGTAAGCCCACTTAACAAAGGGCTTGTAAAGACCAACAAGTTTGTGTTCAAATGGCATGGTTTGAAACTGTGCTGACAGCCAGAGCCCTAGTTCCTTGGAATCAGTTGTCATGTGTCAGTGAATGGAATCTGACATGCGGGGAGTAGCAGGATTTCAGAATAACCAAGTACAGATGTGTAGCTGTCTCTTCAAATTCAGCTTGTTCACTTCCAGGTTAGTGAAAACAGGCTTGTGACAACCTCTTCCTGCTCAGACTCGTCCATCTTAGTATGAACTCTGTCTTCAGTTGAACCTCTTTTATGCGGACACACTCCCAGCCGATCGGTCTCATTTCTTTTGTCTTTTGGGTTGACTTCAGCTTCTTTATGTTTCCAGTTAAATCCCAAGTTACAAATAACCTGTAGCTAAAAATGACAGTCCATGCTCTGCCAACTCCAGTGCTGTTCGTATGGTCAAGGGGAAAAGGAGCAGAACCAGTTAGACACTTTGAGGATGTGTAGTTTTGAAAGAAAGAAGAAGGGGC